TTTTTTTTGGGGGGGGGGGGGGGGCCCCCGAAACAAAAACCAGCATTTAACCCATCATGTTCCAAGCCAACCCCACTGCCAGGCAGTTGTTACATTTCCTCATAGTTCATCATTTTAACCCTGACAGGTTCACTTTAACTCTCACCCAACCCCCTCCCCCACTCCGTCTCAGCTCAGAATCCTCACCCAGCTTGTTAGGAATACACAGAAGGCGGCGCGGAGGGGCTCGGTGAAGTTGGCGGTGAAGGTGTGGAGGTGGCGGACGCGGTCACCCAGCTCGTAGAAGGAGACCTGGCCGGCCTCGTAATCCAGATAGATCCGGATCTTCTGGTACCGAAGGTCGCGCCCCAGCTGGATCTTCTGCGTGTGGTGGATGAAGCAGATAGCATCGCTTTCCTTTCCCAAACACCAAGACACGTCGTTGTTACCAATCCGAGCTCCTCCTCCTTTCCTCTCCATGGAAGAATAGGCAACGCCGAGCCGGAAATTCCCCGACTCCCCCACCTCCACGTCCCAGTAATGTCTCCCCGACCCGAAGGTCCCGACACTCAGCGCCTGAGAGAAGTCGAAGCGCTCCTCCTTCTCGATCCGACATTGGTCGCCCCCCGGGCAGGACGCTTCCTTCAAGTCCTGGGTTACGGCGACATTGTTGGCGGCGGTGTTCACGTCCAGCCGCAGGTCGGCGACCTCCTGTACGTAGATCCCTCGTGTGATAGAAGTCGCCACGTCCAGCAGTGTGGCGTGCAAGGACTGGAAGATCAGAGCTTCATCAAAGTCCTTCGCGGCGGCGGCGGCCATCTTCGCGTCCTCCTTCCTGTAGGCGCTGCTGGACCGCCGAAGTTTATGGAGGTCGCTGTTCTCCGACGTCATCCACCGGGAGAACGCCGAGGGGTCCGGGGTCTCGTACAGCTCCGCCATGTCGCCCATCTTCCGGCACAGCTGGTCCCGACTCTCTTCCAGGTGGCGGATCCGGTTGGAGACGGAGAGGCAGATCTGCCGTTCCCGCCAGGAGACGTCGCTCAGGATTCTCTTCTCCAGGTCGTCCTGCTGTCTCCGGACGTCGCCGAGCACGGCGGAGACTCTCCTCGCGATGTCCGCCGCCTTTCCTCGCGCGTTCACCTTACGCTCCTGCAGGCCCCGCACCCGCTCCGCGATCTCCTCCATCTCGGCGGTCAGAATCTCCGAAGCGTATTCCCGTTTCTCCTTCGTCTTCTCAAAGGCCTCCTGGAAATGGCAGACTCGGTGGCCCCGGTGCTCCTCCACGCAGCACAAGAGGCAGATGCAGAGCTTGTCCTGGCGGCAGTAGAAGTCCAGGATCTTGTTGTGGGCGGAGCATTTGCTCTCCCTGAAGGATTTGGTGGGTTTGGTGAGGATGTGTTCCGGTGATTTGGTGTGGACTCTCAGGTGGCCGGCGCACAGGGAAGCCTCGCAGTGCAGACAGGACTGGGCAGCCGGGACCGGGGAGTGAATGCAGAAGGTGCAGGAGATGCTGGCGGTCTCCGGGTTCTCGGATGATGCGTCACGCGGCTCTGGAGAATGCGCTTTGCCTGGCTGCGTAGGGAACACAGGTGTACACACAGGACAGGTGTCACCGCCAACCCGTTCCTGGCCACTCAGCAGGTGAAAGAAACAGTCCCGGCAAAAGTTGTGTCCACATGTCAGAGTGATGAGATCGGAGAAAGCGTCCAGACACGAGGAGCAGTTCAGGTCTTCGCTGAGGTCTGACGACGCCATCGCCAGCAGGCAGGTCTCCGCGGCGGCTGTGTTCTCAGTGCTGCGAGGAGACGCGGCGGCTGTGTTCTCAGTGCTGGGAGGAGACGGGACGGCTGTGTTTTCAGTGCTGGGAGGAGACGCGGCGGCTGTGTTCTCAGTGCTGCGAGGAGACGCGGCGGGTGTGTTCTCAGTGCTGCGAGGAGACGGGACGGCTGTGTTCTCAGTGCTGCGAGGAGACGCGGCGGTTGTGTTCTCAGTGCTGGGAGGAGACGGGACGGCTGTGTTCACAGTGCTGCGAGGAGACGGGACGGCTGTGTTTTCAGTGCTGCGAGGAGACGGGACGGTTGTGTTCTCAGTGCTGCGAGGAGACGGGACGGTTGTGTTCTCAGTGCTGGCAGGATACGCGGCGGTTGTGTGCTCAGTGCTCGGAGGAGACGGGGCGGTTGTGTTCTCAGTGCTGCGAGGAGAACCGGTGAGGCCGGATTTCATTGAAGGTGAAGAATGTGCTTCCTCCATGGTGACCGTGACGCAGCATTCTGCATAAATGAAAGCTGTGACCCCGAATGCCGAGCATAGCCCATGGCCGCCATTTTATTTTATTTTTTTAAGACAGAGAGAGAACCCCTGAAAGGGAACTGCAGAGCGTCGCGATTTCACATATTGAGTTCTTATGAAAATGCATACTAATGACCCGATATGGCTGCCCCCCC